AAGCAATTAAATTATACCAGGAAACAGTCAATAAAAATTGTAAGGATACAAGCAACAAAGTTACAGTCATACAGTCATGAGTGGGAGGAGATGGATGAAAGGAAGGATGGGAAGATTAATAGTAAAAGTAATGCAGACTTAGTAAATAGTTTGACAATGTTGAGGGAATTATTTGTTTAGCAGAGTGATAGCGTTCAGGGAAAAACTGTTCTTGTGTCTGGTTGTTCTGGTGTGCAGTGCTCTATAGTGTCATTTTGAGGGTAGGAGTTGAAACAGTTTATGTCCAGGATGTGAGGTGTCTGTAAATGTTTTCACAGCCCTCTTTTTGACTCGTGCAGTATACAGGTCCTCGATGGAAGGCAGGTTGGTAGTAATTGTTTTTTCTGCAGTCCTAATTATTATCTGAAGTCTGTGTCTGTCCTGTTGGGTTGCAGAACCAAACCAGACAGTTATAGAGGTGCAGATGACAGACTCAACAATTCCTCTGTAGAACTGTTTCAGCAGATCCTTGGGCATTTTCTGAGTTGGCACAGAAAATACATTCTTTGTTGTGTTTTTTTGATGATGTTTTTGATGTTAAGTGTCCATTTTAGGTCTTGAGATATGATAGAACCTAGAAATCTGAAGGTCTCTACTTTTGATACTGTGTTGTCTAGTATTGTAAGAGATGGTAGTATGGGAGAGTTTCTCCTAAAGTCTATCACCATTTCTACGGTTTTGAGTGTATTCAATTCCAGATTGTTCCAGTCGCACCATGAGGCAAGTTGTACAACCTCCCATCTGTATGCGGATTCGTCGTTGTCTCAAATGAGACCAATCACTGTTGTAATCATCTGCAAACAGATGGATCATTTGAGATGCAGTCATTGGTATATAGGAGAAAAGAACGCACACAGCCTTGGGGGGGGGGGGGGCTGTGCTAATTGTACCGGGATGAGATGTGATTATGCCTTGCTTTACCTGCTGCTTCCTATCTAAAAGCTTATGATCCACTTACAAGTGTGTTCAGGTACTGCTAGCTGGTTTAATGTAGTTAGAAGAATGTCTGGAATGATGTTATTGAATGCTGAACTAAAGTCTACAAAGAGGACCCTTGCATAGGTCTTTGGAGATTCAAGGTGTTGTAGGATGTAATGCAGAGCCATGTTAACAGCATCATCTGTCATTCTATTTGCTTGGTATGCAAACTGCATGGGATCTAACAGTGGATCCGTGATGGTTTTCAGGTGAGACAGCACAAGCCTTTCAAAGATTTTCATAACTACAGCTGTTAGAGCAACTGGTCTGTAGTCATTCAGTTCCTTGATGGAGGGCTTCTTTGGCACTGGGATGATAGTAGAGTATTTGAAGCAAGAAGGAACATAGCAAATCTCTAGTGATTTATTGAAGATTTGCGTGAAGATGGGGGCCAATTGGTCTGCACAGACTTTTAAGCAAGAGGGAGTTATCTTGTCTGGGCCTGGTGCTTTTCCTGGCTTTTGTCTGTGAAATAGATCTTGCACTTCTTTTTCTGTGATCATCAGAGGTTGTGAATCCAATGGCTTGGGCTCAGTTATTGGAGGTTTGGCTGTTGTTGGTGTGGATGGGGCTTGTGGAGATAGGTGGCTGTAGTTTCTCTCAAACCTGCAGTAAAACACACTCAGGTCATCTGCAAGTTGTTGATTTCCTTCTGCCTGGCAAGGAAGTTTGCCATAGCCAGTAATATTTTTAAGAGTTTTCCTGTTTGCTGGTTCATTTATTGAGAACTGATTCCTTAACTTTTCAGAGTAGCTCCTTTTTGCTTCTCTGATCTCTCTTGTTAATACATTTCTCGCCTGATTGTACAGCATTCTATCACCTTTTCTGTAGGCTTCCTCTTTGGAACGACATAGCTGCTTAAGTTTAGCTGTGAACCAAGGTTCATTGTGACTGTATATTCGCAGGTTCCTGGTCGGTACACATAGGTCTTCACAGAAGCTGACATATGATGTTACTATATCTATTAGCTCATGTCAAAAATTTTGTATTTGCATAGATGGTTAGATAGCATCATTAATGCAATGAGCATGAATTTGGGCAAACTCTGGGAGACAATGGAGAACAAGAGAACATGGCATGTTATGGTCCATGGGGTCGTGAAAGGTTAGACACAACTTAGCAAATGAATGACACATGAGACTTAACAAATGCTGTAAAAAGCACTCATCAAGTCTTATGTAGACAAAAGCCTCTGAACAAGCCAGGTCCAATGTTCATGTGGCTCAAGTTAAAATAGTCCTAGAGAGCACTGACCATTGAGGTGGATCTGCAGCAACTTGAAATTCCTAATCCATCAGCAAGCAAATGATTAGTGAAGAGTATGAGGTCATAACCTGGACAAAAATTGAATCAGGAGAAGGGAAACAAGCCTCCTTTAAACCTGAAACTGGTCAGGACAATTTCAAACTTACTCAGGTACAGGCTTAGAATGTGATGAAGACAATATTTTGTGGTTGTTGCAGAGAATGAGGTTTCTGGGCCATGTTTATACCTTGGTTCAGAGCAAATACATATTTTCAATACTAGGAAAGCTCTTTTAAACAGAGTCCGTTATTATTTTCCCTAGCTTTCTCTATTTCACTAACCTAATTTCCTTAGAGGAAAGTGTTGCTATGGTTAAACAATTGGAAGATCCTTAGTAATTGGCTGTGACTCACCCAGAACTCGATCCTGAATTCAGATCTACTATTTGCTTAGTTCCAGAGGGTGAGATACAGAAACCCATCAATATACAGAGCTCACTGAATCATATACAAATATATGACAGAGTGGTATTATAGCCAAATATTGGAGTGATATGATATGCAAACATATTTTGGATGGTATAGGCATTTTATATATTAATTATATTAGTCTTGCTTTTGTGCCAAAATCGACTTCTAAAATTACATTAATGGCACTGCCATTAAAATTACAGTGCCAAAGGCTGTCCTCATTGAGACTGGGACCCAGGTTGTCAGAGAGATTGTTAGCAGCTGCTTTCCCTTTTTTCCATTCATTTCACTGATGGGAGCTGTCATTCTGGCAGAGAAGAGCCTCAAATATGGTGAGAGCTAACTTGTAGTTGGTGGTATAGTACGTCCAATAGTCTCAAGTAGAATGAAATATCCTTCAGGTGAAAATGAAAGAAACCTTGTGAAGACAGATTATCCTGGAACCTCTTTTGTTTCTGACGCATCTCTAGGCTGGTATTATTTTTTTAGGAATGACTGCTGCTCTTTGATCAGATATAATGAATTCATCACAATATTTACTGAATTTTTAATTTGAGCAAATGCCTTATGCCAATGCATAGGACAAGACGACAGATTTTGAAAGATCATATGTGCTTTATCACTTGTATTTACCATGGAAACTCATGCCAAGAAGTTGGCAATGTACTGCTGAAACTGCCGAAGAAACAGGATATCACAAAGGTAATTTCACATCTCTGTTCTTAAAACATGATTATCCCATAGATAACCATACCTATGATATTCCAGAACTATCCATGATATTTGAGAAACGTGAATTATGATGTCACAATGAAAGCCCAACATTTTCATATTTGCATGGCAAAGGAAGAGTTGTGCATGTAAGGGAAGGGATTTGCATGTAAGTGAAGAGTTTGGTTACAATATTACTCCCCATCTCTATGAAAATACCTATATTGTGGTCATTTTGTGACCACAGTTGGGACTGGCAATTTGGTCATAAATAAAGTAGTCACTAAATAAAAACACAACTGTGCTTATGATCTTATTTAGAAATTTCCTTTATTTTACAGACTTGCAAAGTTTGCAAAGATTGGTTGTGAAGTTATTTTTTCATCACCACTGTAAGCGCAAAAGCCTGCTAAATGAGCATTTATTATAATGCTGCCTTGAGTTTTTGGAAAGAAAGGGATCTAACAAATTAATGAACAAATTATATGAATTAATGGAAGGATGGATGGATTAATATATGCAGGTTTTAAAGTATGGTTATTTACAATTGTGCAACTAAAATTAAGGACCCACTATCACAAGAAAACACCTGACCAATTACCACCTTCCTGAAATGAGAGGAAATGGAACAAAATGATGAAGGTGAAGAAAAATGTTGCAAAAATAATTTTATATTTTTAAAGGTGTTTGTCTTGTTAAAAGTTATACTATATTTCAACATATGTATCATAGTAGCACATGAAAACTGCAAGAAATGGCAATGAAATGGGTAATAAAAGCCTAGGGGGAAAAATAGTATATAAATAATAAAAGGGCATTGGTTGGGAACTGTAATTTGTCCTTGGTACTTAACCAAATTTTCCTATACTGATGGGAGGATTAAAAAAACATAATGTAATTGGCCCCCTTCAGTCTACCTTGCCCAGCATTCATTTGCTACCAACCCAGTTGCAAAGAAACAACTAATAATACATATACAAAATCTCTTACATTTGTAATATATTTTGAGTGAATCACACACAGCATGACCATTCCTTATTAGAAGGTCAAACCTGCACATTTTGTATTTGTATTGTCCTTTGCAGCAGGAACCTACAAATTCCTTTTGGGCTGGCTTGCCATGATACCTTTTTCCTATGCTTCCACTTGCACTGTTCCTTTACAAATTACTAGGTAAAATTGACTGTCTTTCTTTAATTAGATGCAGCATCTTCCAACTGAAATGCATTGTTTACATTTATATATAACATTATTTCGTATGTAAATATGTCACAGAGATTAGCTCTCCTTGAATCCTCGATGTCATCATCATCATTGCCATAACAGCCATCATATAGTTACATTCCACGAAACGGAAAAATTTAAATTTAAGCTGGCCAGGTGACAACCCACAGGCAGTTCTGAGCTGAGGTTCAGTGTGGGTGAGGTTTTGGCTTCATATTCTCACATCTGGATCAGATTAGACATTCCAGTTCAGGATGGCTGAAGCTTTGTTCCTCCCTCATTTCTGCCCCAACGCCTGAGTGGGCAGACAGCAGTGAATTCCAGGATAAAAAAGAAGACTCATTCTTTCCTCATATCTGCAAATTCAAGAGAATTGGTGTCCTCTTCCACCGTTTGGACAGATCTGTGCAGAGAAGGAAACACCATGGAACTTTGGACTCTGATGCAGCTGCTGCTCCTGGGGACACAGCTGGGTGCAGGTCAGGGACAAGGAGATGAACTCAGCTCCGAAGAAGAACGAAAAGCTCTGATGCTCAAGGTGAGAAAAACATTGTGTTTGCCCTGGGATCTCTGACATCAGCGGGGCTGTTTACCTAATAATTAGGCAGCTTCTTGGGCCAATCAAAGATGCTTCCTTGCTTGCTAGAAAGAGTGAATCTTGAGTTGCTTTGTAAGTAGCTTAAATACGTGTTACACCCAAAAAAGAGAAAAGAATGATTTAGAAGTCATTGAACCATCCCAGGAGATTCTGCACTGAAATTAAGAAGAACCAAGTAGTCCTAAAATAAACTTGGCCGACTCTGGCATAAAGATCTTTCTCATCTTTGCTTGGCAATAGTCTTACAAAATTCATGCAGCCATTTTATGTAACAGACTTTCCCTCCTAGCAAGTTACACTTTACTATAATATCTGGCAACAGGAACAGGCATCCTGTCTCTCCAGCTCCTCCAGTTATGTTTTTTCCCAACTTTTATCAGGAAAAAAAATTGGAATTTGCAGGTCTTTTGTTTCCTTTCCTACATGTGTGAAATGGTGGCTAATGAATCTCCTCTTTCAGACTTAAATTCTGGCCAAGCAATTTGACAAGTACCTCTTTAAACCTGAATCAGTCCTTGTGACGTGCTATTCTTTGGCAAGGAAAAACTAAGAAAAGCCTATTAACAATATTCGAAATCACATTGATATAGCAGGGAGCCAAGGAAACAAGAGAAGAGCCTGAAGCAGATTCTTCTAAACTGGGGTCCTCACACAATTTCTAGCCTTTCTTTGAGTCATAATCTCTGTACATTTTGAGGCCAGCAGGTTGAGAATATTGGCAGACAAGGAGTGTAGGTGCTTGGGTTGCGAACAGAGGAATCTAGCCAACCTTCCCTTCCTCCTTCCCTCCCTCCCTCTCATACAAAGAATTTTATTTTGGAAGAAAATTAAAACTAGAGCCCATGAAAAGAGAGGGCACATGCTTTTCAATGTCATATATTTCTAAAGCAGTGCTTATACAAATGCATATCAATGTAAGTTTTTTGTAGCTGCATATCCACATATTACAGCTCTCCTATAATTAAGTACCTTATCTCAAGCCAGAGGTGCCATCATTTTTGGCAAATGTGAACAAGATCATGAGTAGATATTGGCCTTAAATTTTGGTCACTCTAAACCAGAAATGATAGTACTCAGATTTAGGCAGCTCACTTAACCATAGGTAAATCACAGAAAAATGTCATGTTTTGTCAGAAACAATGCAAAGGATTAAAACGGTGGCTCATGCCTGGAAAAATGTAGCATTATTGCTGCCTTTATCAAAACTAGGTATGCAGGCCAGGTACATTAGCCAAGTTATCAAAGCTCTTTGAAATCTGATTGGGTGTAGAAGGCTCCATGTGAAATATTTTTAGGGTCCCATCATCCAAAACCTGAAGTAAAACTATGATTTTGATTCCTCCTCCACATGTGATAACAGAATATTAGTTTATCCTTTTTGAGAATTCTTAATCTGTATTTGATGCGTGCTAACAATGTGCCCAACTGCAAAGCTGCAGCCCAAAGATTTTTATATTGAAATCTGAATAAACAAAAGCTAACATTTCTAACATTTATGTAAACACTGGATACAATTCTATTCTTTTTGCCATCTGTAATATAGATAGATTCACAAGCACAAACCTCATTTATCTCTTCCCTAGATGACCATATTTAAACTATGTTGTAACTTCATTGTTATTTCCACACTGCATATAGGCACACACAAATAAAAATATTGCCACAAGTACCACTGACTATATTTTTGGTGAGGGTGGATGTATAGTATCTACGGCAACAAGAAAGAGGAAGTAGAAACTTGGGAGAGCATCAGTGGACTGGGATTGAAGAGACTATGCCAAGTTTCTAATGATAGTAGCCTAGGTTCTCCTCTCAAATAGTTTAGTAATATGGTCAGGCTTTTTTCCACCTTGTTATCATCATAACACTGTAAGAAGGATTTTCTTCATTCTTAACAGACCAAAAGCATTTGCTTGTTTTCTATTAGGTATGTGTATACTTGTGGAAATATGATAGCAATATGTGTGTCAAGTAATATATTCATTTACATTGCATCAGGAAATCACGCCATACTTTTCTTTACAATTCTTTTAATTCTATCTTAGTTCTTCTTTGTTAGTATTTTCCTATTACAATTCTCTCTATCGCAGTGCTTTGTGTGTGCGTGTGTGTTAATCTGAGGTATGTGTGGGTATGTGGGTGCACCTTCAGTCCACATTGATTCCTGCTGACTCCCTGGATAAATTGTCTCCTTTCTAGAGATTAGAGAAAGTGACTGGCTCAAGGTTTTCCAGCTGGCTTCATGCTGAAAATGGGCCTAGAACTCACAGTCTATCTGTTTCTAATTTGGTGCTTTTAATCATTATATCAAATTAGATCTCAATAAAATTACCGTACCTTACATACCTTTGCAGAAATTTGGGGTAGAATCTTAGAACTTGAGTTCAGATTACTCAGTTCAACAACTTTTAAAGATGTTGGCCTAGAAACCAAGAGACTATTTATCAACTATCAAGGAGATCTCACTTAAGCATGAAAACCAACTGGGTGACTTTGAGCTGGTTGGTCTCTCTCAGTCCAACTCACATCACAATTATTGTTCTGTGGAAAATAGAAGGTTGAATTATAAGGTATGTTTGCCACCTGGAGTTGGCTATACCTATATATTACTAACATTCTTTTGATTGTTTGTTTGCACCACCAGTTAGCCAGGAGGAAGTCAGAAGTTGCTCCTACTTTAGCATTACGCCATGATAATTTTGGAATCAAGGTTAATTTTAAAATCAAACTAATAGCAATACATAATATAAATTTAACGCCCATTCTGGTTCATAAGATTGCATGACCTTTTGCTCAGAATATGATCAACAAGTCACAGGTTGTCTAATATAGATAAGTGTATGTATGTAGGGAAGTGTGAGTATATAAATGAATCTGGGTGTGGGTGTATAAAATATATATATCTCTTTCTCCCTTCCGCCCTCTCTCTCAATTAGAGGAACCAATTTGCTTGCCTACTAAGCTGTAATGTTTAAAGGAAGGGCATTTTGATCCCTTTTCTTTTTAGAAAGGTGTTTTCACATGAACAAGACCACGTCTTGATTGCTCACTGATAGATGCCACAATGTTCATTCCATTCACTGGCTGAAAATGAGAATAAATTCTGGATCTTTGAGTCCTGTTTAAATAATTTAAAAATTTTTTGCAGTCTTTTGCATTTATTTTTTGATGCTAGGCTTATTGTTTTATTACAGAACAAATACAATTGTTTAAATACCTAGCACTTTTAACTGGGTGAATTTTAAACTTATGATATACTGAATGCATCTATTAAGTTTTTAAATCATAGTACTCCATGTTTCCACAATTGACAACATAAAAAGTAAAAGGACCATAGTCATGAGCATTGTGCATCAGTTTTCTGTTTAGGTCCCTGCTTGGCAAAGCAAAAATTGGAAAATAGTCCAGTGCTTGACACACTGCAAGGTGTGGTTTCTAACCACATTTTAAAATTTGTAAATAATGCAGCTCTATGTTGCTACATAAATCAATAGCAGAAATGCATAGAGAGAAGTTAAATAATGTAATGCAGTGTTTCCTAAAATTAACAATTTTAAGAAACCCTGGACTTTAGTTTCCCAGCCAGATGGGAATTAAGATTCACACATCTTAAAGTTATCAAGTTTGAGAAACACTGGTAGTAGATGGAGGTGATAATACTGATAGTAGATGGGATGGGCTTCAGGTTATATGCAAGACTAGATAAATAATATTTTTCTTTTTAGAAAACAAGTATTTCTGCAAAAGCTACTGTCCCTTTCCAGGCTAGAGGAGGCTGGTAGAAGTTTCTTTTTTCCAGTCAAAATTGGCAGTGGATTCCTGAGAGTAGTAGGAAAAGCTGAAGGAGCAGATTTTTCCTGGTACTAAGTTCTGAAAGTACTAGAATTAAAAGTACAGATTTGGCAGGAAAAAATATAAGCAAAAGCGTCAGGATTTTTTTAAATTTTCAGCATTGTTTGATTCTGCTCTGTAGATTTGCCTTCATTCCCATGGTTATCCCTGTTTCTAAGTTTGTCTGTTTGATTGATTGATTTCTGGTACTTGTATACTGTGTGGTATAATTTGGTTCAGCTATCTAATCCCCAACTGTCTATTTTGTCGCATTTACTAAAATAAAATGCATTTATTAATTGTTCTGCTGGCATTGGTTTATACAGTAGTAGTACCACATACTCCAAAACTACTTGTAAACAACAACCACGAAAGAAGGGGTATCTCTTGTTCTGCCTTACCTAGATTTAAGGTAAAAGGGAAGGAGGGCTACATCCACACTCAAGAACGGATAGTACAAATTTAACAACTTAACCCACATAGAAGTTTAGGAAGCAACTACATCCAGAACTCAGTTGGGAGGATGAAAACCTCACAATGGCAGTTCTGAGTGTCCAGTCAAAGCCAAGCCTTTTTAACAGGACTATATAATGGGCCAGGCTTCAATCAGATAGTTATATTGTCATGTTGACATTTATTGATAACAAAGTCAAGATTGTAGATGCCCCCTATAAAGTATGGGGGGGGGGAGGATGGGTCACGTTAATTTTTGTGTGGACTCCCTATATAAAAAATAAGCGCGCACACACATGTCAAATAATTGATTAAAAATGTGTACCTAATTGATAGCCAAATCTGGTCGTAGGTTCTGCCTTGGTTTATTTTTCCAATACGCAACCAAGTCGGAAGATCATTTAGAAGCAGCTTATTAGGGTACCCTGATAAAGTGGGATCTCCCTATGGAAAGAGAGAGCCCCAAGACCCATCTTACATTCCTTTTTATAGTTAATACGAAAAAGAAAATGAAAAAGTAAAGTTGATTGGACAGGATAAAAGTAACAAGCTCTGAAACACTGGAAAGAATACAAAGAAGAAAAGCAAAAGCTTCAATTTTTTTTGATCTTCAAAATCAGTGATGGCAATTGCCTGAAATGCATGTCAAAAGTGGCATGCCATGAAGTTATGGGCTACATGGCAGCGTTCACCAAAACCTGACAAGAACTATTTTTCCTGTTCAAGTTACCAAAGAAACTGAAAGAAGCAAATACAAGAAATATGCAAACCTGCACCCCTCCCCCAAAGCTTAAAATGGATTCTCACCATCCATATCAGCATGTGATCTATCAATTTCAGAACTGTGATTGGTGGTGACATGAAAGAGAGAGCAACTTGCAAATGTGATAGGAACATGGCAGCTGCACAGTTCAGCCATCTTCTCACTGCTTCAGGAGACAGTTGTATGCACAGCAAAAGCTCATTTTCAAGGCACAAGGGCTGAGGATATCTGCAAATTCAGGCTCCAAAATGAGAGCACTATCGATGATCAAATGACATCATCTTTTGTGTTTGGTGAACAAGAAGTGTTTTGAATTATAAATACACATCTAAAGAATTGTTTCTTTTTTGTGTGGGAGGGGTGTGTGTGTGTGAGGAGGAATATTCTAGCAGCCATGTTAAGCATTTTTCAAATTTTTGACACATCAAGCCTAAAAGATTCGCTGTCACTGGTCCAGATCAAAATTTCTCAACCTTGGAATTTTAAGATATATGGACTTCCACTCTCAAAATTCCCCAAACAGCATGTGTTGGTCCACATACATCTTAAAGTTGTCCAGGTTGAGAAAAATTGCCCTAGATATTGGCCTAACTTGAAAAGATAACTGGTTTTAGGCAGTTGTTTTCTAGGAGGGGAGATGGAAGCTAACCGACAATGCCAACCCCATCTCATACTTTTTTTTTTGATCTTCACTATATTAGCATATGGCCTGACAGCAGTTAATAAGTCTAATTTCTCCTGGGTGTAAGTAAGGCCCATTTTTTCCTAACATCAATGTGTCTTTCATTGTGCAGAAATATGATTTAGTTAGTTATGAAAAAAAAATAACGTACAGCAAAGAGATATTTTTAATTAAAAAAAAAACAACCAAGTTGTAGAAAGCAAATAGTACGATCAGAGCTACGGTAACAGAAGAATGGTAATTGCAAAATAGCAACGAATATTGGATGTGAATTCAAATATGTACCCTGGTGCCAGTCTGTCTTTTTTTAAATAGAACTTTAGAGCTAAAAAACTGAATCAATCAATAGAAGAATGGCTGTATCAATTGCAAATATTATTAATTAGAATTTTGTGTTAAAATATGGAAGTATATGTTTCATGTTAGAGCATGTAAATCCTAGCGGTATGAAGATTCCCTCCCCAAATTGGAGGAGATTTCCCCCTCTTTCTCTTTCCTTTCCTTTCCTTTCCTTTCCTCTCCCCTTCCCCTCTCTCCCCTCCCCTCCCACTAAGTCTGAACAGTGACCCAAAAGAAATAAAAAAATATTGTTAAAAAAAGGAAAAACAAACTCTGGATTTTTTCCTGGAGTTTTTTTCCCTTCTGTTCTGTTCCGCCCACCTCCCATGACTGTATTTGGGAAAGAGAGCAAAAAGGCTGGAGAGGGGGAGGGGGAGAGAAGGGGAGGGAAGGAATGGTGTGTGTGTGTGTGTGTGTGTGTGTGTGTGTGTTTGGAATAAACAGAATACACAAGTTGAGAGACAGCCATCTTTACCTTGTCCTCCTCCCAGCAACCAGCTTTACCTTGTGCCCTTGCTGGATTTCCAAAATTACTTCTGTAACTTTTTTTGTGGATCTTGTTTCTGAAGCATTTGCAAGAAGTCTTGGAGTTGTCCGAAATGACTGACCAGGAGGTTGCCCAGGAGGTGGTATTGACCGAAGTGAAGGAACCAGATGGCAAGGAGAAGCTGGATGGAGAGACCAAGAAGGAAGAAGTTGAAGAACAGGTTGTGCAGCCCACCCAGCCAGGGCTGGCATCTACAGCAGCCCCATCGGAGGAAGAGGATAGTTTCACTTATGTGTGTGAGTAATGCTTAGCAGTGAGGCCACCTCCCTTGTCTAAGACGACATCCTTTCTTTCAAAGGGAATATTTAGTGCATTTTGTCCCAGAGGATGCAACAGGTTTCTCTCCTGCTTTTGAAAGATGATGGCATATGTTAATGGAATATAAATCCTATACACTGTGGCACTGAAATGGAACTTCCATGTTTAAGAGCAGAATGATTTCCGTTATTTTACATGTGAAGCAGAAAGGGCAGTTGCCAGGCAACCAAAACAGTGCCCATTCAGAAATAAGAGAACATTATCAGTACATTTGGGGTACTCTGAGATTTGAAGAATTACAGGAAACTTTGAAGTGGAAAATTCTCCAAAACACAGGTCTCAAGATGGCTTGGTTGAACCATGCTTGGGGCTTATAGAAACTTGATTAACTATCAAAGATAGAAATGGAAAACGAGGAGGGAAATGAAAGATAATGGGAATAATGAGGCCTAGTATATGCTGTACCATTGCATTGCAGTCGCAAGTACCATTCACTGTAGCTTGTCGGCTTTATATACAGGTTGTCCTAAACTTATGACCACAATTAGATCCAAAATTTCTGTTGCTAAGAAGATAATAGTTAAGTAAGTCAAACCCATTTTATGATGTTTTTTACAAAGTTGTTAAATGAATCACTGCAGTTATTAAGTTTGCCACGCAGTTAGTAAGCAAAATCCAGCTTCCCCTCTTGAAGCCAGTTGGAAAGGCCTCAGATGGTGAACACATGAACCCAGGATACTGCCAAGCACCCATATTTTTGTCATGTAATCCTGGGGATGTTGCAAGGGATGTAAATGCCAGGACAGGTCATATGACACTTTGTTCAATGCCATTGTAATTACAAATGGTTGTAAATTGAGGACTACCTGTAATCCAGCAAAGTTTCACCTTCAGAGTCAACATGGAGCATTGATAAAGGCAGAAATCACCACAAATCAGTGTTCTTATTAGTCAGCCAATCAGAGAATGCAACAATCATGATTCAAACAGTGCTGTGCTTCCTGAGTTAGTACAGTTGCTGATGCAATAATTTCTCCTTAGTCCTGCAACACAAAGAAATCAAGGGATTGAGGAATGGGCTATTGTATTTTTTTAAAGAAAAGTACACCTTAATTGTTGGTATAATAAAAAGCTGCCTGAGTATCAAGAAATTATCGCTGGAAACAGTGCTCATTGACGGTTGCATGTTTTGCAACCAAATGCTTTCCTTGGTGGTTATAGCCATGGATATGGATTTGACTATTGTATATGGTAGTTTGAATGGTGGGCTGCAGAATATTTCATTTGATCTCAGAGATGGGAAATAGGATGAGTCAAGAGTTTGATAACCATTGTTTATATACCTGAACATTTTGTGTACAGCTTGTAAAACTGGTTCAAAGATTGGAGACTGGATTTGTTAATACTGTAAAAGTCCCTGTTGATATTTATTGGAGCAAAATGAAAAAGTACGGGTGAGAGATTACAGATGACTCACTAGCAGGGGTGTCTGCAGAGGGCAGGCAAAAAAGTCAAGGCAACAGCTGCAACCATATGATTAAGTCCCACCCCTTCTTTAACTTCACCTTTGACCTTTTTGTCCCTTCCTCTTGTTCCTGCGCCATCACCATCCCTTCTATGGCACCCAAAACCCTTTCAGCATAGGTAAGTCTAAATATCTGCACCTTATTTGTTGCAACTTTTTGGGTCTGGGAAATCCATGGGGCAAATTATTCTTCAAATGTTGTGGTTGTTAAGATACCCATTTTATTTTTAAAAGTTTTGAAATCCTCTCCCAGAAGAGAACCTGGCCACATCTAATTTTGGAGTTTGATCCACATCCTTTAAGTTAACAGAAGTTGTAGACTGGAGAGGCTCAAGATTGGAGGTGGCTGGTGAGATCAGGCCACACTTGCTATAAATCAGAACATGGCTCGCTCCCAAGCCCTGCAGAGCTCCAGCATTGCCAATCATAAGAAGGTTATTCTGAGGTTTGAAATGCACCATAGCTGGATTAGAAGAAAACCAGCATGGCTGCCAGAGAGAGGTGGTGTTGTGGAAACATAGCAAAGTTGCCAGGTTGGTGCAAAGGCAGACTCTGACAGGTCTTCAGAACAATCTCATTCCTGATTGGGGTGGACTTTGACTGTAATGGCTCCTCTCATCCTTGGCAAGACTACAGTATTGCAGGATGGAAGTACAGCAGTTGCCCTCCTGTCTGAAATAACTGGATAGCATCATGTTGGGAAATGCAGTTCTATAATTGCTTAACTTCAATGTGAGCTTTTTCTTTTTATTAAATAGGAGATTGTACAGTATTATTTATTTAAGCATCCTCTGCAGAATCACTGGATTTATTCCAAAGAGAGCTGGCTTTGCATCTCAGCTGAACCATGAACTGATGTGAGAACTGCTACTATGCCTTCCCTTAGCAGCTATTATGAGTAACTAAACACATCTACTTTCTCAAGCTTCTCCTTGCATTTGTCTTATGTTTCCAAATGATGAATTGATATTTTTCAAAACCATCACTTTCTGGTTTCTTCCTTGTCCTCAGGCATATGTGCCAATAACATTTTGTTCAAATCAGGGATTGCATAGATCTTGAATTTTTGGTTTTGCCTTGGAAGCAATAGTAAATCTACAATCATTCCTTCTTTCACTTTACAAAAAACCCTGAGCTTTGGGCCATTTATTGCCCAATGAGCCTGCACCTCTCTAGGTTCAAAATCACAACAGTAGTCAAGAGTTTTGATATCTCTCTAGGAATAAGATTTGCTTGTTTCAAGGAACCAGCAAAAAATGCCTGTGATGATTAATGAGAAAGGCAGGAGTGTGATAGTATTCCATTATCTTTTTTCCTCGCCATTTGAACAGAGTGTGCACTGAAACCCTTTTGTTTCAGACATGCTGCCATGCTGGTGTTTCTTTTTTTAGAAATGCAATTGCAACTTGGTTGGCAGCATGCAGAAGAACAACATAGCATCTTCTGTATTTTTAATGCAATCAAGCAGCACACATCAATATATAGCATGGCAATGGCTGTAATTCCTGAGAGACACTTGAAGGTTGAGTGTACTTCATTCTTGTTAGGACAAACATGCTAGGAATCAGGAGAAACAGAAGGTCATATTGCTGTTTCAGATTCCTCTAAAAACATTTCCAGTAACTGATGTCTATCTGTCCTGCTCTGCTGGGTTGTTGATTTTAAATACAGCGGAGCATAGTACAGCATTGTAGTTTCAGGAAATTATTGCCATATCATTTTGCTTTCTTTTAAACACACTGGCAAATTAGTTTCAGTTATACAAAAGCATTTGTTTCAAAATAAAATGTATGGATAACATACCACAAATCACACCTGCAAAGAAAGTATGAGATTAAGTTGCCATTTCAGAGTTTTTCCTGAACTACAATAAATTGGGTGAAAATCAACAGAGTAATAGAGAAGATTAGAAGCTGGACTGATAACCTACAACTTTATTAAGACAGGGACCGCCCACTTCCATATGGTTATCAAGAAAACTGGATCTATCCATAGCATTAAATATAAGTTGAGGGAGATCTGACTTTATTTTAAGGGCAATTATGCATAGTTGTGTTGCTATATTGCTACACAAAGCAAGTACTTGCAAGTACCACATTGATACACAAAACAAGTACAAAAGGGAAAATATTTCTTTAAAAGAGTATAATATCATGTACCATGAATTCTTTCTGTAATATAGACAGAACAGTTGTCATGAAGCAAGTCTATATAAAGGTTCGTGAAAGACATGTTTACCTGGACAAGAGACGATTAAGGGTCAAAATTAAGAGGCTACATGATAGCAGTCTTCAACTGTCCTAATGATTGTTCTGTAGAAGATGAAACATATGTACTGCTCAAGTACTTGCTCAAGTTTGGCAATTTTAAGCTGTGTGGACTTCAAATACCAGAATTTCCCAGCCAGTGGTGAAATAGCAAGAAATACTGGCTGGTGTATTCTGGGAGTTTGAGCAAAGCTTGAGAAACTGCTCTGGATAGTAGGGCAAAAACAAATGGTAGAAATGGTAAATAAAAAAAGCAAATTTCAATTAAACTCCAGAAAACCTTTCTTAATAATAATGCTGCTTGAAACAATTCATCAGCAGGTAATGAATCTCCATACCTAAGATAAGGAAAGTAGTTGAGCTGAGCTGAGCTGAGATGAATGGAGTTAAATTGAGTAACTGGTTCAGAGCAACCATCTTTTTCTGACACTGCAGACGCAACATCATGGTCTTGAACAAAGGTTGGACTGGATATCCTCAAAGTCCCCTTCTGACTCTAAACATCTGTGAAATAATCCCAGACTGATAGAATAAAAGTGCAAGTTCTTGTGCTTGTAGATGAGCTTGAAGAAGAGATATCTGTGGGTGCTCACTTCAGCAAAAGTAGGGATGAGGCTCTCTTGCTCAGTAGATGAACAACTCATACAGATGCCATCCACTTTCTGATCCATGGCAGTTCTAGATGTCTTTAACGTCTGCTGTCTCAATTCAGCCTGCAACATAAAGTGATGTACTTTATCTAAATTACAGGCATTTTCTACGTTTCTGTTTTGTAGTTCAAATGTTTTATTATGTTTGAATGCTATTCGCACCCCAAGGAATTCTACAAGCCCCAAGATCCTAGACTGGCTGTGGCTAATACACTCAGATCTTCCAGCTGGGCATGATCTCAGACATCATAGGCTAAAAGTGCAAATGGTTTGACAAGGTACGTGTTCAAAAGACAGAACTCTCCTCATTATAATAACATATTGGAAGGCAAAACCCAGAAGGCTGTTTCTGTCAGCATGGATTGTCAATGGAGAACAGGTGCTTAATTTTTTCCCCACCACAAGCTTTCATCTTCTCCCCAAACTCCTTTTCCCATCACTGGTTCCAACTCTTAAAACGTATGTTTACAGTATAGCCTCCACAGGGTTTATAAAAGCCATGAGAAAAAGCTGTAGATAAAAGCAATTGATGCCAA